ATAATTTTATATAAATACAGAGCTGAAATATGGTTGAAAGAAAATAATATGCTCTTTAGAGAAGGAATCGATGTTTTAAAAGTGCATCTAAATATAACCTTTAAAGAAAGTTTTGATTATTTGTATCTAAAGATAACCTTTAGAGAAGGTTTTCAAAGTATAACATAAGGACATCTTTAAAGAAAGTTTAAGTAAAATGTACTAAAGACAATATCTTTAGAGAAGCTTTTATGTAAACCTTCTCTGAAAGTATTTTTTAGAGACGTTTCTAAACCATCACAAACACTTGAAAAACGTCACTAACACTACTAGAAAACTGGGCATTTCCGGCGGAATTTCGGCGGACAATTTCCGCCGGAAATTTTCCGGCGGATTTCCGGCGGATATTAAAAAAGTCAACTTTTGTTGACTTCCGCCGGAGCTCTGCCGGAAATCCGCCGGAAATCCGCCGAAAAATTTAAACCGGTTATATTTCCGGCGGATTTATTAATTAAGGGTTAATTAATCTTTAAAAATTAATTAATATTTGAAAAAAAATGGAAAAAAATTTTACCGGCGGATATGTCCGCCGGAAATTTTAAAAAATTCAAAAAAAATAAATCCGCCGAAAATTGTTTTAGAAAAATAATTTTTAAAAAATTTAAAAAAATTAAAAAAAACTTTTAGAAAAATAAAAAACTAAAAATATATCCGCCGGAAAATGTTTGTTTTAAAAAAAATAAAAATCTTTTAACATTTTGTCCGCCGGAAATTTTAAAAATTGTTTTAGAAAAATAATTTTAAAAAAAATTAAAAAAAAAACTTATAGAAAAATAAATTTTAAAAAAAACTAAAAGTATATCAGCCAGAAATCCGCCGGAAATGTTTTTTAGAAAAAAAAATAAAAATCTTTTAACATTTTCCGGCGGACAAGTTCCGCCGGAAATTTTAAAAATTCAAAAATATAAATCCGCCGGAAATTGTTTTAGAAAAATAATTTTTAAAAAATTAAAAAACCTTTTAAAAAAATTTAAAAATAAATCCGCCGGAAATTTAAGAAATTAGAAAAAATTAAAAAATAAATCCGCCGGAAATTATAAAAATACCATATTGGTCTTTAATGAACCGTATTGGGCTTTAATGAACCGTATTGGCCTCTAATGAATCGTATTGGGCTCTAATGAACCGTATTGGGCTCTAATGAACCGTATTGNAACCGTATTGGGCTGTAATGAACCGTATTGGGCTGTAATGAACCGTATTGGCCTCTAATGAATCGTATTGGGCTCTAATGAACCGTATTGGGCTCTAATGAACCGTATTGGCCTTTAACGGTTTAAACCGTATTGGGCTGTAATGAACCGTATTGGGCTGTAATGAA